TGCATTCAGAGGCTGCGAGCCAGCTCGGCAGATTCTCCGCATTCTCCGCCAGGACGCAGGGACTTCCTGTTCTTCGAAATGCCGCATTAGACAACCGATCTGATGCATTTCATCGTCCATGACTTCACACGTTGAGTGGTCTCCGCATGCTGTTCCGGTTTTTCTTCTGGTAGATTTCAAAGCTGCGTGGCCGTGTAGGGACCCAAGGCTTCAATACCGTATACCGAGGCTTCAGTACACCAATTCGCTCATAGGTCCAGGTCTTGGGAAGCTCAGCTTCGCCAGAATACAGGATCTGGACAGTTGGGGACTGTAGCCCAAACATCCCCAAGCAGCTACTTCCTTCGCACATGAAAATAGGCAGGCAGCAAACTCCAAACTTTCCAAGGCTCACACGCACATACCCTTGCCTCTTGAAAGAAGTTGCTGGCTGGATGGGCGACAGCTGCGACAGCTGCCTCGGTCCTGAAACGCTAAGCAACTCATAGAACACCGCAGAATGCCACTATGCCACTATGCCACTACCCTCCTCCAGACGGCGCCCCCCCGCGCAATGGACCCGAAAGCCCCCAAAGGACGAGCCTCGGGCAAAGTTCCCGAGACCAGGCAGGGAAGGACCATGGGGCTCCATGGGGCATTGGGACGTATGGAGTGAAGCGGTAGACGAGCCCCGGCTCGACTCAGTACCGGTATCTTCATCCCGGAGCCGTGCAGCTTTTCGTTCTGATGACGTGCAGTGCACCGGCACATCCTTCAAGGCGTTGGGTGTCAGTGTCCCATCCTGGACCAGGAAAGCCTCGCCGCAACCTGGGCGCTGGAAGCTCTGAAGTGGCATAGGGCAGACCCCTGGTACTCTGAATGGTGACGCTACACCAAGTCATTCACATCGCTGGATGATTTGCGAGACGCTACTAGAAGCCTTGACACTCAGTACGTGCTTTCTGCTCTGATCTCTGAACACTAGATGCAACCTGGTTTGCATCTGCTTTTGGGGTGTCGGTTTCGGAACCTTGCTGCCTTCCCTGAACCCAGGGCAAAGAGTGCAGCCTCCGTGCCCCTCCAGCATACGCGTGCCGTTGCGAAAGTTTTCCATGATGCCGTTTGAAGGTCCTGCAGCATCAGCTTTTGCATTTGGCATTGGCAAATGCTGTTGTGACTCTGGAGGCATCGGTGGGAGTTCCGTGCGACCATGCTATTCCTGGTCGTCTGCTGTCTGGAGATCAGGCCGTTGCCTTAGAAGCAAAGATGACAAGCCACCCGAACTACGCTGGAACTTACGCTCAGAGAGGGTTTGGTCGGTAGTCATCGGCGCGCATCATTGGGCTGCGAGCCACTTTCACCGAACGCTGAACACTGAGTGACCTCATCTTCGCCGTCGACTCCGTCAGCGCGATCGTGGCGCAGGTCAACGACCTGTTCCTGGCGTGCTTGCCTCAGGTCTAGCTTTGTGGCGAATTTAGGATCCGGGATGTCGTCGTCAGGTTGGAACTGAAGGTCCATGTTTGAGCTCGATGAGTAGTTGCGGGTTGATGCACTTTTGGAGGGGGGGGTGGGGGACGAGTGACAGTTCTTGCGCCGTGAGGTACTCTTCGGCAGTCTTCGCCATGTTGGGCTTGAGAGCAACTTTCTTCATCATTGACGCCCGGCTCAGGTTTCGCATGCCTTCGTTAGGAGCCTCCGTCTTCTTTTGAGTAGGCTACCCTGCTATCCCCGTCCTTCATCAAGGGTTCGGCATGAAACAGAAGTTTGTTAGGGGGGCATGTTACAGCTGATTCCTGGGAGAATGTCTCTTTGGGCTGCTGGCTGCTAGAGCCCTCTTCGCTACACCCTTTCTGCCAAGCCACCAACCTCTTGCAAGGCTTTTCCAAAGCCACTCCCGCGGGCCTTTGTCATGTCAACTTGCAGGGAGGTCTGATGCTATTGGGGCTTGGCCGAGCATCGTGGAGGGTTTCCCAAGAGTGGCATCTGCACCCTCCACAAGGCTTCTGGACACCTTCCAGCCCAAGCAAGGGATTCACCCTTGCGATGTCAGCCTTAGCCCTCAGCCCAGGATGTGCTTGTCCACATGTTCGAGCTCCTCAAGTATGGAGTGGCGGCTGTGCCTCGGCGGCTGAGCATCTCGCAGCATCTCGCAGCGTGGCTTCTGTGATGCAGATGGCAACTGCGAAGAAGGGCTTTCTGAGTCCTAAGTTGCGTCAGAAGCTGTCGGAGCTGTCTCAGCAGCCCTTCTCGACCTGCTTGGAACCAGATGTACTTAAGATTTTGAAAGGCTGGGCCTTGCAGTTAAGACCAGGTGCTTGTCTTCATTGGGGTGAAGCTCATCCTGGCCCACCACTACACCATTGAGCCAGCGACCCGCCTGCAGATTCTCCGGCAAAGTCGCCAGCAGCCCCGACAAAAGGAAAGCTAGTGGCTTCCCAAAAAGCATTTTGTTTCTTCGACAGAATCCTTTTGCGTTGGCAGCCTCTTGTGTGGGTTTGAGCGACACGTAGCCCCCTAGCTAGAACCGTCCGAAGCTCGCAGCATACGGTGGTCTTGGTCCTCATCGGCTGCATCGGCGCGTCCATGGTCGCCTCTGTCATGAAGGCCCATGCCAGGGGCTTGCAGCTTCAACGCAAGGTCTCCGAGACTTTTAAGGTTTAGGGATCTTTAGTTTGGTGCACAACAAACTGCAGGATGAGGGATGATATTCGCATTTTTGTTTAGGCAAGGCTGCCGAGTCACCTGTTTCAAAATTCAATGCCTCACGCTTTGCGAGTCGTGCATGCCCCTCCTGCGTACTGCTCCTGTCTCTCTAGGGTTGTTAAGCTTACATGTCTTTCAAGTGTGCGCATGGTCTCTTGATGGTAGTGCTGACGAAATCCGAAAGGTATCTGGATTTGGTGTCTGAATTTCCCTGAGCAGTATCCGGTTGAGCTGCCAGCCGGTGATGCATTCGATTTCGATCGATCACGATCCAATCAATCTGTCTCTGGCTGACCCAGATCAACACACAATCTCCTGCAATCTCAGTGGTGATCTTGACGACTCGATTATCTAGCTCGTGAACCCCAGCGGAGGCAGAGATGGAGAAGAAGATGCAGGGCCACGACCCAGAGGACTCTGGGCTCATAAAGCTACGGTTTGCAGTGCATCAAAGGCGAGGCCGAACTTTGCATCGTCTGTGATCCTATCGCTGGGGCCAGGATCATGCAGCTCCGTGAGTGTTTTTTGGAGCCATGAATCATACGTGACATATACACACATGTACACGCTTCAATGTTTTCTCTTTCGGGAGGATGTTGCCAAGCGTGTGGAGCAGGCCACTCACTGAGGGACTCAGAGACTGTCCTCTTGTGAGCCACCCGCCCCATGATACCTCGAATCCCTTGAGTCGTGCTGTAGCATCGCGGAGCATCGCGTGCAGGTCAAAGAAAGGACGTCTCCGTTCACCTCGCCCTACGCGTGCCGCAGCCAGTAGTGGTCTTGGTTTTGCCAGTTTTGCGGCTTACTTTCCTTTGTAGATTTCAGGGGTTACTGGTGCATGTTGGGATCATGTTGAGTCCCTTGTTGCAGGGTCGAGGGGGAAATGGGATCGCCACGAACCCCGCTCAGTACTTCGTAAGCAATGGTTTCATACCGGCATATTTTAGAAGTTTCGGTGAGGGCCCTACAAGGACCACACACGCTGAAAAACCCACTGTCGGAGGGTTCAGGTTTGCCGTGCGAAACCCTAAACCCTAAACCCTAAACCCTAAACCCTAAACCCTAAACCCTAAACCCTAAACCCTAAACCCTAAACCCTAAACCCTAAACCCTAAACCCATTAGTGGAAGGGAGGTTTTTTCAGTGGGGGCTTTGAATCGCGCCGTTCGCATGGCAGGCCTGCGGCCCTGCCGACCGCGTAGCGTGCCTGAGTCGGCCCGGAAGTCGCGGATTAGTTTAGGGTTTAGGGTTTAGGGTTTAGGGTTTAGGGTTTAGGGTTAGGGGTCCAGTCTAGTGTGCATTGTAACTGGGTTTTGTCCGGGAGTGTCAGCGGGCTTCCGACGTTCGAGCCGTTCAGGCTCCAGAGAGCTGAACGTGCGTCCCTTGGCCTCATAATGCCTCACCGGTGGCAATAAGGGAGCTGGGAGTGTGGTTGGAGGGCAGAACAGGGACCTCTCGAATCCTTAGAAGAGTTTTGAGAGATGCAACAGCTGTGTTTCGCTTGTAGGTCGCTGTTCATGGTTCCTCTGAAGACCTTCTAAATGCTCCCATCGGCACCGCGAAGATACAGTAAGAGCCAGAACGCTCATGCTCCAGCTCTACCTCCCTATGTCGAGGATGAGAATATCTCAGCTTGGGAAGCAGCAAAAAATCGGAGCACCATGGTTTGAGGTGCCTTACTTTTGGGAACCCACCCCCCGTCGCCCTGTGTCCTTGGCCAAGAGTCTTTAGGCAGGTGTTGTGAGACGGGTTGGCATCAGCTCTCATTGCTCCTCCTCGCCCTGCAGCTTACCTGCCCAGAGGCTTTTATTAATCTTTTCTGGGCAACGCGGGAGACTTCATGCCCCCAAAGACCTAGGAACTCAGATCTCGAAGCCCATGTCACAAGCCTGATGCAAGCGATGTGGAGCCCGACAAGGGGCACTCAGTCTTAGAGGCTGGGACCCTGAGTCGTAATTACAAGACGAAGGAGGGATCTCTCCCTGAGTGAGGATTGCTGTCCTCTGTTTGGGAGCCCTCCCTGCTATCATGTCGGCCGCGGATTGCAGCAGCTGACACCGAGCCGGTGTCGCGCCGGTGCCCATCGCGCGCGTGGTAGATGATGCGGCCTGGAGTAGATTGGGCTTCCGAGTGCGTCGGATAGTGTGAGCATGGAATCTTCAGATTCCTGAGATGCATCCTTGCGTGGACTCGTGGCACTCGTCTTTCGGTCTTGGGGTCGTGTGTTGAATTCCGTTTAGAGGGTTGATGGCTTGCAAGGGAGAGCTTTGGGCTGGTCGAGGAAAGAACCCGAAACCCAGGAAGCGTACTTCCGGATGTGCTCCTTCTGGGATGGCCAAGGCGAGGTCGGCAGCTTCATTTTTCGGGTTTAGGGTTTATAGGGTTTAGGGTTCAAAGATCTTGATCCAAGAGTCCGGATCGCTGCTGGGGTGTGCAATCAGCACGAAGAGAAGGTTCTGAGCTGGTGAGCACGGGGGCTGTCTTCCATGAGTTCTGACACCCTCTCCCAAAGCCGCCATTCAGTTGAGCCCGCGGACGTTCGCCGGTTCTGCAACGGCCGCCTCCTGCGGCAGATGGGGGAGGCAGCCCAGGCCGAAGAACCTGGGGGTTTAGGGGGGTTTAGGGGGGTTTAGGGGGTTTAGGGGGGTTTAGGGGGGGTTTTAGGGGGGTTTAGGGGTGTATTGCATTCAAGTTGCGCCATCTGCCTGAAGCTGGGCAGGAGATGGCTGGCGAGCCCCTGATCTCAGGTCCCGCAGAGGATGCCATCGAGGCCTTTAGTAGACATCTCTTTCGGTGCCTTGGGGACAGGATAATATTCTGCAACCCGGAATTAGGTCTGGCGCACCGTGGTACTTGCATGCTGCCGAGAATTCCTGAAAGATCAAGATCTATCATGATGTGCTCGCGTTTCGGTGCTTGTTGCTGAAGAAGAGGGCTCGCTTCCTGATGCTCAGAACCTGCCACATTCGTACCAGACGAGGGCCACAACCCCGAACGACTCAACAGTGCTGCCCGCCTCATTGGAGGCACAGAGTGCCGCTGCCGGTCCCAATGGACTGGAGGCTAAAAGTGGCAAGTCGTGCAGTGCAGGATATCGAGGAAATGCCGGTGACATGGACAAGTTCGTAGGATTTCGTAGGGGTTGTTGGATTGAGAACCGTTCCTACAAAGAGCTTCAACTTCTGCCGGCACCCGGCCGAAAGGCCTTCCTGGACCACTGGAACGCTGGCGTCTACAGCTGCGCGAGGTGGGCACTTTTGAAGGTTGACCTGGCCCATGTGGGGGGGGGGTTTACGGAAAATCAGGCACCCCTAATAATAGACCCCCAAATAGTAGGATCCCCTTTATAATAAGGACCCCAAATAGGTACCCCTAATATCGTAAACGCCCATGTTCATGAACAAACATCGTCAAAATTTGGTTTCAATTGCTCCTGGCGGTCGGACGCATCTGACCACATGCAGGTGCCACAAGCAGCTGTACCCGTCTTCTTCAAAGTGGCGCGGTGCTTGGCCGTGCATAGGTTGGAGTTCAACACTGAGTCCATCTCACAACAAGCGGCCGACTTGAGGGTTGCTTTATATGTTTGGCTGCCCTGGTAGATGCCCTTTGGTAGATGCCCTTGTATGATGGTGCGTCAAATCTGAGCGTTCAGAGGCGTGGCCCTTGCGCTTGGCCTTCGTTCCGAGCCCCCGTCGCAGCGGTGCCCGAGATGCAATGTTCAGTTTTGTCTCGTGCATGAGCTCGATCTTCAGCGACCGCTCTGGGCCACTGCCGCTTTTCGCTAAACGCACAAAATCTCTGAACCTTTTCTGGAAGTCGATTCCCATTGCCGAAGCTATAGGCCTTACGCACGCGACCCGTGGTCGGATATGGAGGCTGCTTGGTGGATGATCTGGAGCTGTCTTGCAAACGGTGCGGCCAGGTTGAATTGTGCAGTTGCCGAGGTTACAAATGTGCCGTTGCAGAGCTGTACTGCAAGGGCTGCAATTTGTTCATAGGCGCGCTACTGCAGTCGTGCTGGTTTTTGGGACTGCAGATTTGCTTTATCTTTGACGTACTTGCCTGGACAGGTCACTGCTTCCAAGATGCCTTCGAACTGGGTGACAAGGCTGGGAACATGCTGCGCCACCATTTAGTCTTACCCCTTTGCGACCCGCCTTGGCCGGGGCCTGCCCACCGCAGCGGCAAGGCAAGGTCGGCATGACAGGCTCCATGGTTTGTCGCAGGGGGGTGACGACAAGTAGGAAAGGAAGGGGGCGGGGGCGGGGTGGGGGGCGGGGTGGGGGGCGGGGTGGGGGGCGGGGTCAGGGCGGGGGGGCCGGGCAGGGCCTATAGGGGGCAGGTGACGCAAATGCCCAATTTAGCGTCCTCATATATTGCAACAACGTTGCTGCGGAAGTGCCTCTTCGACTGTGAGCCAGGAGTGCGCATGTGGCAGAAGAGATGACAAATCAAGCGTTGTGATACCGTGTGATGCTTGCCATGGCAGGGCCCGGAGAGCACTGGTTGGCGCCACTGAGTCCTTTCGCGGTCGCTGCGCTTTGAAGCGCAAGCGAACTTATAATGCAGGGACAGCATCGGGATGCATCCGGGCGATCCTCATCTCAATAATCGCCGGAATAAAACCTCAACGATCATCTCCATCCAGCTCCGGCGAAATCTTATAGTAGGCCTCTAAACCCCTCATGCCAAACGCCTGATTATTGGGTGAGAGCCCGGCCACACCCTGCCACTTCCTCGCATAGAGCGGAAAGTTGAATCTGGTGGCGGCACTGCGGAGAGTGGGAGCCTTGGCGCGTTTGTCAACTGTTTGTTTTGGCAGAATTTCGTCTTGAATGGTATAGGATAGCTTTGTTTGTCGTGTTTGCTTGAGTAGAAACATGTGTTGTTCTTTTAGCGCAGCTGTACTTCTAGCGCCTCCCTTGCAAGGTCACCTGCGCTGGTGACATTGACGCCCGTCCTGTCCCGGGATGCCAAAGTCTTTGGAGTTTGCAGGTGACATCCGACATCCGCAGTCTTCCACCTACAAGAGCTGGCAGAGCCAAGTGGAGTCCTGCCATGCGTTGCTAACGAAACTCACGCTGGGAGACCTCGCAAAACAGAGTCATGAAGGAAACTGGGGCAGTGGATGGGGACGTAGGATGTCAGCCACACAAGTCGTACCTCATCAGATAGCACCCTTATGGTCCCCCACCTGAAAGCCTGTGAAGCTAAAGCTGATGTCTACACGAGTCATGATGACTCGGGCCAGTCGTTTCCTTCGTGAAGCTGTCCCTGAGCTGCGCTGGTCACGGCCGACGTTGGGAAAGCAATTGACAAACGTTGAAACCCCCACCATGCCTGAGAGATTCTGAGAGCCTCAGTGACTCCAAGCTCTGCTGTGGAGCTCTTCGCATTCAAGTCAGCAAGGGTCGTCCAGTCAGCGTGAAAGATTGGCTCAGCATGCCGAGAGTCAGAGCCCTTCAGGGCTTTAACAAACACAGCCGGATCTGCAAATAGCTGGGGTTGAATGGGGTTGAATGCAGACCATCGCGCTTGTGCGCAGCCCGAGCTTGCACCACAAACCCGAGGGATGACAACCCTCGGCGTGACCTACGAATACCCACGACACTGTTACCATTACTACACCCAACCTCAACTCCAAGCTTGGCCACGCTGGTAAGCGGGGGAGCCTCGCTGCGAGCCCACCTGGAGAAGCCATCTTCCGGAGCCATGCTGCCGATTCCGCAAGTGAAGCCCGAGGACATCAAAGGCCGAGGGCTGGAGGGAGATGCTGTGCCGGGCTGTCTTGTGTAAAATTGCATCAACAAACCAATCTGGTGAACAAGATTGTTGTGTGCTTACCATCGTCATCATCATCATCATCATCATCATCATCATCATCATCATCATCATCAGTCACCAGCATGTTCAGCAGCAGAATGAGGATTTGTGGTGCTTGTGAATAGTGTTGTAAAAGGAACAGCCTCTATTGGCGATCGAGTTGAGGCTGTTGGGAAGACGGCTTTGCCTGCACCCCTTGGTTCTGATGGGGTTGCCATGTCCAGGGCTTTGAAGGCCCATAACACAACCATGGAACCTTTCCACGTTGATGGCCGTGTGGCTGCAGGCTTTGCCAATGACGCGAGCTCAGCAACAGTGGCAGGAAAGAGTTGTGATGCCCTTCATACCCACAGGTAGATCGCATTTTCATGCAGAAGTTTCAGCACCATGGCGATGTGCAAGCATGGCAACATGTGGTGGGCAACACCCGGGGGGGGGGCAACACATGCCCTCAAAAGGCCAGCTTGTTTCTAAGAGGTGATGCAAGGGTCCTTGAGACTCGGGGCTGGAGACTGAAATGCAGCTGCGAGGTCATCGCGCGCCTCGCGGAGCTGATGTGGGGACCTCAGATGGGGACCTCAGAGGTCATCTTGAAGAAGATGTGGGATGCAACTTGATGCAGGATTCAGTGACGGAATGATGTGGTTTGAGGCGCTAGATTGGTGCAGTCGTTGTCTTGAGTTACACGTGCCACTTCGAGGTCGCTGGCTGCTTTTCTGCCCGTGGTGTTCCGAGGCCCCCTCCAACACTCGCCATCTCAGAGTGTGCAGTTGTGTTGCTTCGTGGGTGTGACATCCGGTGTGAATTTCAGGGTTTCGAGACATGTCCTGAAACGGACGCCCAAAGCGTCCCGAGTCCAAGTTCAAAGCGAGGTGGGCGTAAGCCCGCGAAGTATCTGAGGCTGGGGTGGAGGAGAACCATGGAGGAAGGAAGGGGAAGAGAGAACCAAGAAGCCAGCTCACGTGGAGCAACAGTTCGTTGCCAACTAATTACAGTTGATTTTAGGCCCCCCTGCACTCACACCAAGCCAGCACTTGAGAATGTGGCACCTAAGCCCTGGCGGGCAGAGCCTCCCTGCACAACCCCACAGGGCGGATGAGCTTCACATCAGCACGAACGAGGCCAGAAGACTAGCAATGTCGAGCTTGGTCCTCTTTGTCCTTGCCGTTGATGGCAGTGATTGGCAGTGGCTGGAGAGGACTGCAGCATTGAAAGCAACAGCGGAGCGGAGGACGCATTTCCGATCGCTCGCACTGCGATCACTCGTTTGTCGCAGGGCTGCTGGGAGCGGTCTGTTTTGTGTCAGCATCTGTGGACGTGTACGGCCGTAGTGACTTCCCGCTTTGCCTGGAGGAAGAAAGAGAAGAAGAAAGAGGCCAGCGACAAGGAAGCCAAGGACGGGCCGAAAACGTGACCACCGTTTGCTTGTGCTTGTTGCGGGATGCCCACCCTCTTCTCTCCGCTTGTCAGGAGGGCAATGCTGCAGAAGAGACGGAGACGACAGAGGCGGCAGAGGCATCCCGACAATTCTTAGCTTAACGGCTTTGGCGTTGCTTAGAGCAATTCTAGGGACCCACGAGACATCCTTCAGAGACCATCTGAGCCCAAAGTGGGAGAGGCGCTAGTCGCTGTGTCAGGACGCTTCTTGCCTTGCGTAGTCGACAAGAGCGGGCATCTTATCTAGGGGAAGAGTTCGGGACACTGCCCCATCCACACCCCCCTGAAGGCCGGAGGTGCGCCGACCGGGCTCGCCTGCTTGCTGCTCTACCTGGCCTCAGAGGCACCCTGGGCCTGGGCAACTCTGTGGCTGTGTGGCTTTGGGAAGACCGGGTCGGGACAAGTCGCAAGAGTTCTTGAAGCAGCGTAAAGGGATGAATGCATGGAGAGGCTGCAAGATCTGCATGGCTCAGTAGTTGTTTGATGTGTCTGTCCAGCAGAGCAAACCATCATCAAGCAGCCGCAAAAAAGCATCAACCATGTCAGAGGGAGCGACGGAAACTCTGGAGCCGGAATCGCCATCTCACCATGCGAACCGACATGCTCTGGAACATCATGCGTGCCAGTTGTAACTCTTTCCCATTTGCCGGCCTCAGCCAGGCACTTGGCGCACGTGCCCTTTTGTCCCCTGCCCGGAACCCAAGCGCTGTGTTTAGCTGCCCGTGTCCGTGCCTACCGAAGTATGTATGTACTGGCTTTCATGTAAGGTCCTGCCAGTACAGGACGAATCAGCAACCAGCCGTTCTTATCATATTCTGAGTCTGCCGTAGGTCTTCTTGTCAAGCTGTTCTCTTGAATGTGCCCCCGCATGCCATAGACCCCACTCATGGGTCCTTCTGGTTTGACACATGGGTTGCTTCGATCACCCTGCGCTGACCATGCTGACCTGTTCACTATCCTCGCCTCAGCTCGCCTCGGAACCTTTGTAAGTCCCCAACTGGCGCAGCTGGAGGCGGCATCCGGCTCCTCCAAGGCACATGCTCTTGGGACGGGAGGAACGTAGTGGAGCAATTTGAGTTGTGGAGGGTGGCATAAGGGGGCAGCATGGCTCATGTTGGGCATCTTGAGGTCCCGCAAAAAAAAGGGTGCCCTGTCCGCCGAGCTCAGGACTCGCCGGTCCTGGTCGTCCTTGAGAAGTTGAAGACGGTGGGCCTGAGGGTTCCAGGTTGCTGCAAATTGCTGTGCACAGCTCGTGGCTTGGAGCTTACGTGAAGTTAGCCATTTAGGCATCCTGATGCCTGACTCACCTTCGGAGGGTTTTCCAGGCATGGTTGTTCGGGTGTTCGAGCCTTGTAGCCTGGCAACCGCATGTATCAGGTGGGCAAGAAGCTGCAAAAGCGTCACGCCGACATCCTGGATATGAGCATGCTGGAGGGGGTGTGACGACTGCTCGGAGTCGTTCGGAGTCGTTTGGTGGGTTTCGAGGTAGCTCAAGCTCCACAGGGACTGCTCATAAGATGGCCTCACTTGTTGGCAGGCACTCACACAGGAGCCCCCAAGCCAATTGGAAACAACCTTCCGAGATCTCCTGGCAGGAGCGGCTCAGCCTGGCAGTTGCAGAGGTCTTGAAGCCGCAGGAGGTTCTCTGTAGATCGCTCGTCACAGTGGAGGTCTTTAGAATCGGAGGCGGAACATTCGGAACATTCGCCCTGCATGGACCAGGTTTTTCAAGCCCTCCACAGCGTCGTCATGATCTGTCCGCTGCGGCATGGATTGCTCGGCGCGTGAAGGGAACACTTTTCTTGAAGGGCTGTGGCTTTGGTTTCGCACCTAGCTGGGTCTGCGGCTCTGAGGCTTAGGCAAGGCCCGCGTGCGAGCTGGGGTCAGCAGCCTATCAAGCCAACGGACGGTTGTACTATGCGTGTCAGGAGAATGCTGGAGATAGGAACCGCAGCGGCATTTCTTGCTAGGGCTCGACATCTTGATTGATGTTTTGTAGCCAGGTGTGCTGGTGGCCGCACTGCTGAATGCTGTCGCTCGGTTGTCCAATGAAACTCCAAGCTCAAGCCCAACATTTTCTGTTGTCGTGCGAGGTCCGCTGCAGTTGTTGCATGTGCTGTTCCCGTCCGGTAGGCTTGGAGGGCTTTAGAATTGGTTGCTTAGGAGTTGGGTTCCTTTGAGGCATTGTCGCTGGGGCTGCCAGCCATTGCCCGTGTCTGGAGAAATCGGCAGGCTCCGGGAAGACTCTGCGGCTGGCAGTCAAAAGTTCTGTAAAGGTGTATGATTGTTGGCCAGGTGTTTCGGTATTTCCAGAAGACTTGTTGCGCGTACAGGTTTGTTGGTAGTTGGTGTCGCGCGATGACTATCCTCTGCCTCTTGACAGATTCCGGCAGCTCCGTTCCTGCTAGCCCTGTGCGTCGTGTGCTCCATCGGCAGCATGGAGGGAGTGTGGGCTGGATGGGGGGAGGTTCTGGATGTTCAAAATCAGGCGCGCGATCCCAACCAAAAGCAGTTTTTGTTTTTTCCTTTTGTTTCAATGGGTTTGCTCTTCGCGAAATCTCCAGCTTGGGAGAGCTATTGCAGAATTAAGAGCTGCTTTTGGACTCTGAGATATTCCGAGCTGGCAGCAAGAGCCCTCCTCTTTCGATGTCATCCAGAGGCCCGCGACTCTGTTCGGATACGGCCACCTCTCCAACCTGCTCAAGGCCCTGTCCAAGCTTTGCAGCCTGCTGAGCGGAGCTTCGGAGTGGCACTGCTGGTGGAATGTCTTCTGGTGCAGAGGCCCTCCGGTCTATTCCGGAGTTCCCGGCTTTCTGCAATGCGGCTTCCTTATTCGGAGTGATACGTCCTGCGCTCCGAAAAGCGCAGAGAGAGTCTACCCCAGGCCGTCATAGACAATACAGACATGCGACGTTGCATGCGATTGAATGCTCTGATGCTTCAACGAGGCTCTGCAGCATGCTCTGCGGGTCGCCGCGCTCGTCACTGCCGACGCGGACGCCCGCTGCTGAGACGGAGGAATCTGCAAGAAGACGTCTTTTGAGTCTGTTCAGTCTCCCGACCTGTCTGCGCACTGTGTGGTTGGAGTGCTTGTAGGTAACGATGGGTGCAAGTCATCAAGCTTTTGGTTGAGTCCAGCAAGTGCATCAAGGATGGAACGCCCGGCGTGTTCGCCATGTTCCAGGAAGGGCACCGTTCTTCGTTGCTGTGCAACCTCCAAACTCGTTGAGATGATAACCCGTGGACTCGCGTAATGTCTCTAAATTGGTGATCAGTGCTTCTTCCCCCCCGCCCCCACCCCCACCTGCGGCCCCAAACAGTTGAGTGCACCTGAATAGTGTGTGTGTGTGTGTGTGTGTGTGTGTGTGTGTGTGTGTGTGTGTGTGTGTGTGTGTGTGTGTGTGTGTGTGTGTGTGTGTGTGTGTGTGTGTGCTGCCCATTCAGCAACACGTCGCAGGACAGGAAACCCGAATGTAGTTTCAGGGCCCCACACCCCACACCGCACACCCCGCAAACCACTACCCCCAACCCCACTCACGCACGCGCGCACGCGCGCACGCCAAGAAGTTCAAAGCAGCTGTGTGTTCTACAAGTGTTGGATCTGTGGTGCTTCTTCCAGCTTGGTACAGCGCTGGCAAGAGCACGTCTACTCCTACATCTTTAGACCACGCCCCTTGATGCGCTTCCGGGTTCCTTGTCGCAAGTTACAAGTAATGTATAGGGAAGTGCACGCCAAACCCGGCCCGGACCTCGGGACTCAGGCAAAATGAAAGCTGCGTGCGTCCCAAGCTACATACGAGACGACCTAGGCCCGAAGCCGTGCTTAGCCCGCGATAAGCTTCTCCGCTAAAGCTTTCTGCACCCCAAGCCCTGAACCCTAAACCCTAATGAGCCCTGAACCCTAAGCCCTAAAGCCTAAACCCCAAACCCTAAACCCTAAACCCTAAACCCTAAACTCTAAACCCTAAACCCTAAACCCTCACAGTCTCACGGGAATCGCAGGCGGCCTCGCTTCTGACCCAGATCTCCAGTCAGGCCGAGGGCTTTGCTTGGGGTTCCGCTCTTGCTTTCGGGTTCAGGGTTTAGTGTTTAGGGTTTAGGATGGTTTAGGGTTTAGGGCTTAGGGTTTAGGGTTTAGGGGGCTCATAGAGGGCTCCGGCTTAAGGATGGTTTCAGGCAAGAGCATGGCTTGTTTCAGCCGCCGGAAAGCCTGGAGTGCAGGTGGCTTCTGCGAAGCTGGCGGAGGTGCCTGAGCCAGACTGATCAAAGATAGCTCGGGTTTAGTTTCTAGGGATTTAAGGGTTTTAGGGTTTAGGGTATAGGGTTTAGGGGAGATTGCATTGGTCGCTCGGCTTGGGGGATGCGGATCATGGCAGGTTCGGGACCGCAACATTTGCACATGGCAAGGGGCTTTGGGATTCTAGGTCGGTTCCCTTCTTCTGCGGTCCCTGTTGCAGCCCCTTAACAGAAGAGTCCCTGGAAAGGGAGTTTGTGGTAGGATCATGTTTGTAGAATTGGCGTCATGGCCATGACTCAAGAATCTGTGTCAGGCCATAGCACCCATCCGGGCCAAGCAGGACTTCTGGAGCCTGCTGGACAACTCGACGGCAATGCCCCTCTTCTCTAAAGCCTTCTGAATGCTGCGCAGAGCAAAGGCATCTGGGTTTGTTGAGCTCCCCCCCCACACATCTCGATGACCTCTTCTCAACCTTTTTCAAGTCTCACGCTTGAGCAACATGCTTGCCGGTCAACTTGAGCAGTGCCAGCGTCTTACGTGATTCAAGATACGGTGCAGCGATTAAGGGCTTCATTAGGAGTATTGGGAACCCCATCCATCCGAAAAATCGCTGACCCCGACAAGGCATGCGCTGATCAGCATGCTGGGCACGGTGTGGCTGGCCTTCGCCCACTTGCGTAGGCCGCCCTCCACAAGCTTTTGTTTCCTTATGGGACTGATGGTAGTAGCGATTAGTAGCTGCTGGGGGGCAGAGGGTTGGCACAGCAGTTCTTTGACCTTCAGTCCTGCCCATTCGCCAGGCACACCATGCTCCTGGCGGTCATGGCGCTGCTGTCCATTGCCGCCTCGCCGGTGACACTGGCCTTGGGGTGGCCTGAGGTCCTCCCGTGAAGCTGGTGCCGTGTGCTTCTTTGACAAGCGCTCAAAATGAGCTCTGGCCTACCTTGCCCCACATGTCTCCAAGAGCTTCTTTCCGAGACGTGGTGGAAGGCCTGCAAGCTACTGGGTATGCCGACCAGCGAAGCGAGCCCGCAGCGAGGCACCGCCTTGCCCCCCCGAGATAAAAGCCCCTCAGTCCAAAACTCCAGGAGAGCCCGACTCAGGGTAAGTGTGAAATTATGCCCCAGGCCTTGTCGAGGGCAGTTCCAACCATGGTCCGATCATCGGGAGTGAGCTCCCATGCACACATCAACTTGAGCGGCGTTGTGTTTGGGTAGCCTTTTTAATATCTAAACACTGGCATCATTCCGGGTAGCCTCTTCTTGGGGCGTGCGCTCTCCGCGTGGCTTGCAGTAGAAGTAGCTTCTGCAAGGCCAGGCTTAGGCTTGCGCAGCTTAGCCTCAGTCCAAGCCAGGGCTACTGCGGTTCACCTCCGTCCTCTATGCGGGAACCGCGGGAGCCACACTTCTTTCAGGAGGCCCCCCAGGGCGCAGGGTGCCTGGCTTTCTACCTTCAAGCGATCAAGCGAGGAGTCGGGATTTTAGAAGCTTGGCGTGGGAAGCTTCGCCTGCAACGTCAGTTGAGATGACATGCCAGTGCTAAGTGCACAGACAAGTGTCACGCCTGCTTGATCTCCGTGTTCCCGGCTTGGAGGCACTGTGGGCATGATCTCCGCGATGCTGGTGGTGCAGCTTCTGGCGAGGCGTGGACATTTGCAATACAACTTTTTGATGGCCCTGCAGCGCCTGAACCGCTCGGGAGCCGTGAAAGAGCATGAAGGTAAGAGAAGGACTGCCATGAAGGCTGCGGGAGATTGCTGTTTCTCATGGTCCTAGTCAAGACGGAGCTTCGGGCAGGGCACTATAGGGCCCTTAGAAGGTCTTTGGGTTGATGGGCTTCTGCTAAGTACACCACGGCGAGCGCCCTCTTTTGCCCCAACGCAAGAGGGCGCTGCAGTGGGCCGGCGCCTCGTGTATCCTCGTATCGGGGGCAAGATGCAGGGTTGTCTTGAAGCCTACAGTAGTGGAGCGACCGAACTTGAGAACTCGGATGCAGATCTCAGAGCCTACTTGTAATTATGAAGTTTGTGTTTCGGCTTGGGTTTCTTTGGGCCGCGTGGTCTGTTCTTCATTCGCCGCCGCAGGATCCACGGAACCGAAGCCTTTGCCAGCCTCTTCACCTGAAGCCCGCTGTTGTGAATGCAGTGAACGCATAGCCTTGCGACGTCTGAGAAGAACTCGGATCCACGGTCCACAGGGCCACGTGCCGATGTACGCTGCTGCGCCCCACTCGATAAGGGCTCACAGCACCTGCTGAACCTGCGGGGTGAAGCCTGAGGGGCTCGGATAATGCATCCTGCCATGTTGGGAATGGTCACCAGGCCGCGCGAAGAAAAGACGAGAGATGTGGTTGTTGCGAGTTCTCCTCAGCAAGCACGAAACTTTGTAGCATTACAGCTGGTGATGCAAGTTGATGTCACAGTAAGCCGTTGCCCGGCAACGGCTTGGGAAGACTACCGCTCCTTGAGGGTAGGCATGGGATGTTCGCGGACGCGACGTCAGGTTGAATCGTTCTTCTTTGCTGCCGGCTCAGTAGGAGTGGGTTTGTGGGGCTCGCATATTGGTAGCGTGCCTCGCAGCTACAGGACTTTTGGCAGCTTATTGTGGATTGTTGGTGTCATGAACAGACTTTGTTCTTCAGGCAAGCACAGGCTTGAAAGAGCTGGAGTGCATGGAGGCTTTCCGTTGCGAATCATCCTCTCCTTCCAATGAAATTGATGACGTTCGAAGTCGCCATAGCCCTGCCCGAAAGCAATTTTCCGAAGATAATCGATCACAAGTGTGTGAATACCAGTTCCCTCCCTCCCTCTCTCCCAACCTCCACGCCCGACGTTCAGCTACTTCCATGCTTCTTTTTTTTGGAGCGCGAACGAGTCCTGGAAAACCTGCAACAGGCCTGCTTTAGGTCCCGCTAGCTTAACCTACTCCTGTAGAGGAAAGGATCTAGGAGGTTGGCCCACACGTTGCCGCAGAGGTTGGCCCATACGTTGCCACCTAGCCGCTGGACCTAGCCAGTCAAAACAGGAGGAAGGACAAGGGAAGGAGAGGAGTCACAGATGGCCGGACGTGCGTTTTTCCAGTGCCTTGCAGTCGTTGAGTATTCGGAACAGACTAGCAGAATTTATCAGAATTTGTGCATGTGACAGTACAGCTCTCCAGGAGGATGCATGAGAGACTTGGCCGCTCCCTCAGGGGCCTCAGGGTAACGGCTTCGTTGCTTGGAGAGAGTCGGACCCTTAAACATCATGTTTCTGGCCCGTGATCCAGTATTGTCATGGTCCCTGTGCCCAAGTATGGTCGGCACTGTGGTTATGTCCCAGCACACAGCTCAGGGGTCACACTGCTGTAATGCTTCCGGCGAGGCTTTTGCTGACCGCACGGCCCCTGCGTTGGGCCGGGGTGTATTTGGGCGTGCGGCGTGGTGGTCGCGCTGGCACGATCGGATGGTTGTCGTCAGTTGTCGTTTCTAAAGGGCTTGCGGGAAGGAGATGCGAGGAGCATGCGGAGGAGCAAGTTTCAAAATACAGCTTGCGCTGCATGTGCTCGAAAGCTACTTGTGCAAGTGAGGCCAAGGAAGGCCTTTTAGTTGACAGGGGACGTTCGTCCGAAGCAGTCCTGCACCAAGAAGCAGCGAGAATAGCTGGCCACCCCACCCCTTGCTGTGAAAAAAATGTTCTCCTACAAGTGCTTGAGTGCAACTGCTGCCAGGCTCGCTTGGGCAATATTTTCCACAACTGGCGCAGCAGGCTCTTTCGCCCATCTTTTCGCTCATTCTCGCTGATTTCGCTCATTCTGGGTCGTGCAGTTTGACCAAGTGCGCGGAAGGCCATGAACCTCAGGGTGCCAGAAAAGCAGGCGCCGTTTGCTGGGCCCTCGGTGTCGAAGTACTCCTGACGAAGCGTCCAAGCTTTGCAGCAGAGGAGGCCACAAATCTGGGCCAGGAGTCCGGGAGCATCTTCAGAACTTTGTTGAAGACAGAGAAAAACCCCACAAATGCTCGGGCTAGTTTGGAAGCTGCTTGGGGTTGCGGCTTGCTGGGTCGGTCTTGGGCCCTGTGTAGCCCTTTGGAAGCTTAAGATCTGCTGCGCCTGAAGCTTTGGATGCCGATCCCGCGAGTCAGAAACGAGGCTCCACGCCCCCGGTGCTGGTGCAGCGTCGTGCCTCATTGACCAACCGGACAGCAGGCAATTGGGATGAGTTTCAGCGGAGTTGAAGACAGAGATTTGGACTTTCACGGTCTGAAAGTTCCATAGTTAATGGTTTGTACCGGGGGGTGGGGGGCCTTAACTATTGATGTTGCAATTGCCCCTCCCCTCCCCGCCCTCTCCATTCCATGTCTGCCCTCCCCCCATCCCCTCTCCACATCCCCCGCATGGGCATTTGTGAGCATCATTCTGAATTCTTGCTCGCAGTTCACCCACACAGCTCCTCAGCCTTAAGTTCAATCCCTGGCAACACCGGATCTATTGGGGATACGGCCGTCGTCATAGCGCCACATCAAGAAGTAAGCATGCTTGCAAGTGAAGCATGCTGATGCTTTGGTAGCCCCGGCCGAAAGTCATATTGGGGTTTCCGAAAGTAAGGGACCCCTCATCTTGAACCCCAAATAGTAAGATTCCCTTGGAAGACGGACCACAGTAAGGTACCCCCCCCCCTAACTTTCGAAGATTTCGGAGACAAAAAAGAACCAAAATATCCGGGGGCTGCCACGTGGAGCCTGCCTGCGGAGGAGGCAGCACAGCACGGGAAGTGGTTTGGACAAATGGCACCAGGGCCGCTCGGCTTTCCAGGGGTAATACAGTAATACTGTGCATCCTCGTCGATATGACACCTCATGCGGAGCGCGCGAACACCCTGGCACACCATGGAGCTTCGTTTGGCGAACTTCCTACAAGATTTTGAACTATTTTTGAAGATGTTCTCTGCGAAAACCTGAGCCCACTCCAGCATGCCTTTGCCAAGCCCAGGTGGATCGAGCGCGGGCCCTGCTGCAGGTGTCGCGAGATGTGGAAAGCATTTGGGCGATGTGAAAGGGGTCATGGGCACTTCTCAGCTTGCCGCAATGACAGGATGCTGAGAACTCAGGATGTTGAGAACTGGAGATGGCCATTGGTGCCGGGTTCAATGTTTGGGGTTGAAAGGGTTCACGATGTACGTTCGGTCGCCCTCAACTAAATCTTCAAAGCTTCTTGAAGCCTTGAGCCCGAGCCTCGAACCAAGTTCTGCTTCCAATGGACAACGAAAAGTCTCGACATCCTCTGACAAACTAGACAGCCGGGCGGTTAACCCTGGTGTAGGAGACGCTTCGGAGCGCGGCGAGATGGGTGCCGGGCTCTGGACACGGCGAGGGTCTGAGAATCCCGGACTCTTAAACTCTTCAACTTCCGAACACGTCAGGCGCCTTCATGATTCTTACGGCCTTATCCAGGGCCTTGGTGCCTAAAAGTCTTGTAGAGCAAGGCTGGGTGGCTGCGCTCATGACTCGGACCTCCTGGACAAATTCATCCCTCGTGGATGAGGCTAGCCTGGAGGGTTATCGGACATGCTCGCGGCACGTGGGATCACGTGGGATCACGAGGGATGATGCAGCATCACTGCTGAACCTACGATCCTCAGCAAGCCATGCCGCGCATCAACTTTGAGCATGTGAAAGCTGGGGGCGAGCCAGCCTCCGAGAGAGCTTTCTTCAGGCGCGGCGGATCGAAGCCACGTCGCAGTTTGTGCTGGGTGCCCAGAAACTACAGGCCCTCTCAAATACTCGTACTTGCGCTCCTTTGAAGCCCCGTTTTCTGCAGCTCTTTTTTGTGCCATGTATGACTCACCTAGTCTTCTGGTCTCGGTACGTCTCGGTTCTGAGGGTGCAACTGCGCAGCCTGTACGACTTCAGCATGCGTCCCCTGCATAACGGTGGTGCCCGAGTTGTCGATTCGCAGACGCCTTCAACACCTGGCCCCAAAGCCTCCTACTAAGGCCCCAATTGCTGGAAGTGAGGTTGTGCTTTACAGCCAGCCCCCCCTGAGGTCGAGCCCTGCTATGCTGCTGATCTTACTGGTCGCAGTTGGCATGGTGCGCAGCTCTGCCTCCTGCAAACCATGTTTGTGCACTCATCCATACATCAGATGCACAGATGTGAGAGAGGTGCCAGGAAGTCTGTCTGGTGGCCAGGTACTCTCTGTGTGCCTGGCCTTGTACTTCCGCTCCGAGCCCCGCACCAAGCGTGGGGTTTGCCCAGTGCCCCTGCGAAGCCCTTGTTGTTGCAGGTAAGAGTCTAGCCTTCAAGGGCGCCAGCAACACTGAGCTTCTGCGGCCCGATGCCCGAAACCGCCTGAACCCCCCCCACATCCTGAAATCCACGTCCTTCGCGCCAAGTATGCGTGCGGTCCAGTGTGCCGAAGGCCGCGGTTCGGGCCTTCCCAGGCAACCGACCTACCAACCGAGGCCTGGGCATTTTCATGGCTGTTCTGTCATTGTCATGGGTACCTGGGTACACTCCCCCTCGCCCTGACAGATCAGAAGAGCAGCCTCGGCTCCGCAATTCGGGACCGTAATATTGCAATATTTCGCAACGCGTAATGAATGGAGTTCAGTTGTGACATGGTGTGCCCTCGGAGATAGAGGTGCTGCAGCGCGCCCGGTCCTCGCGGTCCGGCCTTGGCCTTCGTCTCGGAAATGGAGACTAAACCCTAGACCCTAAGCCCTAAACCCTAAACCCCAAACCCCAAACTCTAAACCCTAAAGCCCTAAACCCCAAACCCTAAACCCTAAACTCTAAACCCTAAAACCCTAAACCCGATTTGATGCCGAGGTCCTCCGCCGTCGTTGCTGACATCGCCCGTCGGCAGCCCTTCATACAGGACCGGGTTTAGGGTTTAGGGTTTCGGGTTTAGGGTTTAGGGTTTTTGCGGACCCACTCCGCCACTTAACAATGCGGCACGGTGCATCATGGCAGCACGTGGTAGTCAGCTTCCTACCTGGAGGCCCTTTAGGATTGGGTGTCGTAGGTTCATGCACTTAATAATAATAAGAATAACAACAAGAATGGAACAAGAATAATGATAGACTAATATTTCGAAACTTGCAAGTTGTGCGACATTGTGCGAGGAAGGCGTCTTCCAGCGACAAGA